TTGGTAGAACTATATAGGCTGATACCTGTGAGTCTTCTGGTCTGGAACAGCAGGTAGACCTTGAGGATTTGTTTAGTGCAGCCCCTTTTGCTTGCTGGCCAGTGCTGTTTACTGATTTTCTGCCTTTGAAGTCTTGTCTGTGTTGCTCTGTGGTAGCTCTGTGCTGGGAGGATGTTCCCGGGACAGCTAAAAGTCATTGGCCTGCGCAGTTATTTCAGAAGAGTGAGTAGAGTTTGATGCCAGTGCCATCTTTTTGTACAAAATGCTTCTCAAAGTAGCATCAGTTGCCATCAGTTACAAGCTACGATAATAGTTCACTTTTCCAGATAAGTAGATGTTGTCATAGAACTAATGTTAAAAGTCCACTGTAATGTAAAAGGTGGTCTGTTAAGTGGGAGCTGGACCAAGGTGAGCAAGGTGGTGAGGACAGGGAGAATACACCACAGAGTGGCCAATGTAGATGTGGAGTGGTCTTTGAAGTATTAACATGCTCCTGGATGGCTGTTAGCATTGGACTGATGTGTTGGACAAAACCTGCCCTACTCTCACTGCAGTTCTGCTACAGCCACAGTCATCACGTCTGTTTAGGGACACAGTGGGTTTCGTGGTGATGGGTCAACGACTGGAATAGATGGTCCTAGTAGTCTTTTCCAACCTTAATATTTCTATGAATTGAGATTTATGTGAGCTGTTGTTGATTGTGTCGATGCCCCATAGAAGCAAATCACCTATATGGGTTTATGTGAGTAATTAGGCCCATGGGATGAGTTGCAGGTATCTGTTTGCTGGACGTGGTGAACCTGGTTGTCTACAGTTCAGAAGACACAGAGGATTTGAGTTCAGAAGATTCAGAAGATTGTTTTAATGAGTTGTTATGGAGGTTTTGGTCTGTCAGATTTGTTGGATAGTTGAATAGTACTTAGGATCTCCAGTGGGCATACTTGAATGAGGAAGTCTTTAAAGCACTGACACCAGTTTGCACATGTCCAAGATATCCAGCTGACTGCAAAAATGTTGTTGAAGACAGAGTACTTGCTCAAGGCATTTGACAAATATCCCATTTTCTTTACAGCGCAAGTTGGGTAGGTTGTATTTGTGGTCTGTGAACCCCACTGGTTGGGAAGATCTCTGGAGAACTTCACTTTATGAAGATATACATATATACATATACATATACACATATACATATACATATACATATACATATACATATACATATATATACATACACACACATACATGTGTTTTTGTGTGTGTATATATTTGTGCCAAATGAAGTACGAAGGCTTTTTTTTCCTCTCTTCTTTCTGAAGTAGGTTATTTTGTGGTTCTTTTCAAGTATGCTATGTGACTGATCTTTTCCTGAGGCTTTTTCTCTGTTAAGAGGCTGCTATGCAAATCTGGGAAGCAGGCTTGGAAAGGCATCATATTCTGTTTTCACCTCTCTTGCTTTTAGATGACAGGGTAGAGAGCAGTCATTTCAAGTTCTCCCCATCCAATGACATTTTCTGCATGGTGGTATCTGTAACCTAAATACAGTGAATGAAATACTAAGCATTATCCTTTTATATGGGAATTTTTATTCTCCACTGCCTTTACATTTTGACCCAGTTTTAATTTTAACTTTTTAAATTATTATTTTCCTCTGGACTGTAAACCTTCAGTGCCTTACAGAACTACTACTAGATTTGCTCACCTGTCCAAGTCTGAAAAACTAGTTTCTCTTCCCATGGTCTGCATGTGTATGCCCTTGAAAGCTCATTGTGTATCAGTGTATTGGAATAGGAGGAACATGCATTGTGGACTAGAACATGCCTGACTGCTTTACTAGGACTGTGTGAGCCACTGCTTGCTCTGCAGAACACAGAGGGCTTAAGTGGCACTCTGGACTGCCAAGTGAATGATTTGTTGTTTAAGGCAGGGTTTTCCAGCTCAGATGAGAAATGGGCTATCAAGGACCACAGTGTGTTGTTGCCTTCTCGTAGCTTATCTGAACTGCCTTTGGTTTGCTGCTGGCCGGCAAGCACTTACTGAGATTGCTCAATGTGCACATTATCTGGCTGGCAGCACCCTTCTCTTATTTCCTGAACAGCAGCATGTTGTACAAACCTATTTTAAAAAAGTTTTCAGAACTGAGGTTTGTTCGTGGTACACTGCTCTGTGTCCCTCCAGGAATGGAGTGCACTGAGTGGGTGTCTCTGGAGTACTGTCTTCCTGTGCATAAAGGACAGAGGTGGGTCACAGGTGCAAAAGGAGAGGTTGTCAGATGCATTCTGCACTAGTTCCCATTCAGCTGGTGCGTCCTTTCTCTTCCGTGTCTTAAACTGAATGGGAGAGGCTTTGCTTTGGGAAGGATTGTGAATAGGAGGTAGTGAGGGGTTCCTGCTGGCTTATGATTTGTAAAGATATCAAGGAAAAGAGTGGTGACCAAGCATGCCAAAGATGCCTCTGCAACTTAGTGGGTAACAGATATCTCCTGATTGTTCATCATCTGGGCTCAATGTAAAGAATTTACTGCTCTGTCTTCAATTTTCTTGTAACAAAAGGCACTCTTCACTTGAGCATGGTTTGAATCATAACTGTCAGTGAGTGAAGGCTGCTGATCAGAAGAGCTGAAGTCAAGCAAAGAAGGGATTTGTCAGCTCTCAGTTCTAAGCTGCCCTTTCTGGTTTGCATACTTTTGAACTGGTGATTTTCTTTTACTGTGGTTTTAGTTTTTAAAAATGAAAAAGCAAATAGTACTACAGCAGGCTACAGTAAAGCTTAGGAGGTCTCAGGAGGACTGTTAGGGCCGTATGGAGAAGATTTCGGAATGGAAGTAGCATGAAAGGCTTCTTAAGGGAGTATCAAAGTTAGTATTTGGTGTGCGGAGTAGCATTGTTTGTATCTTCTGTGGACAGTTTTTACAGTGGAAAAAATACTGCAGAGCACTTTTCATCTCTAGTGTTTCTTGCCCTTTCAGTATCTGATGGCTTCGTAAGAAAATTAAATGGAGTAAAATTACTGAAGGATTTTGTAGGTATTGACTTGGAGCAAAGGCCTCAGTACTTGCACAAGCAAAGGAATGAAGCTTGGACTGAATTGCATAAAAGGACTTGTTCCTTATTGGTTAATCTGTTGAGAAGACTCCTTGGTTTCCTTAGGTAAAGCTTGAAAGGCTTTTGTTTAGTTTTCCCCACTTGCCCACGTATTTCATCACCTTCAAACTGCTTGAATAAGGCCTTAAGAAACACAGTTTTAAAGGAACAAGCACTAAGTGTGACATTAATAGAGTTTCTGAAGTTTCTTTAGGAGGATGTCAATATTTTGTTTTAGGAGCAAATGAAATCAGGAATGGATGTGTGTTTCCAGGTGGAAGAATTTTAACTGCATTTTCCAGGGCAGTGAAACCCACTGGGGTCTAGGGTTTCTGCTGGGAAGCTCTAAGGGCAGCTCTGTTCTGCTGCTTTTCTGCCTAGCGGCATTTTTCTTTGGCAGGGCAATGAGGAAGACAGGATGCTGGGCAGGATTTCTTCTCTCCTTACTCTCCTGACCCCAATGCTCTTGGACAGTTCACCTTCTCCCTCCTCTGCCATCACCCTTGCCGCAGGCCTGTCTTGCCTTGATCAAGTGTGCTGGTGTATCCTTGCAGCTTTTAGCATGACAGAGCTCTCCTGTCATTCACAACCTTGCATGGCAATGAAATTGGTTCTGTATCTGACTTAGTAGGCATTGTTCATTACCTGTTTCAACTGAAGGTCACTGTTCCCACAATGTCCTTTTGATTTGGCCAGTAGAGCCTGTTAGACAGCACTGGTTGACCACCTTTATCAAGAACGTCAGGGAGTGGTCTGTGATAGAGGCCATAGTGGTGGTGGTCCAGGGGCTGCTGCTCAGCTTGCTGACAGTTGCTTTTAGCTGCTGTGGGAAGCTCGTAGAGGCCTGTGGTGTGGGTGGGCATTGGCCTGTGCATATGATGCCTTAGGGAGGAGGAAGCACGCAAGAGGGGGATGGGCTGGAAAGGAGGCAGGGGCCTGGCTTCTGGATACAAAGGCAACCCTAGTCCACTGGGCTGAACCTCTTTTTTGTGATGGGGTGCAGGACTAATTTTTTTTTTCCGTGGCAGAGGATGTTGGAACTGGGGGAACGATGCTCAGGATGTTTTGCTTTGAACCAGTGATTTACTCTGCACAGCTTTTGTATGCTTTCAGAAGAACTAGGCCAACCCTTGTCAACATGCAAGTGATTAGCTTTCCACATTATTGCCCTACTCAATCTTTTGGTCTGCACTCCCAACTGTGAAGAGACTGTCTTGTCACCAAAAGTTTGGGAACATCCCAATTCAACATCATCTTCCATGGGCTGGAGCAGAGGAGACAGAAGGTCAAGTGATTTGTCATTGACAGGGTTCATTGCACCTGAAGGGAGACTGCAAACTCCTTAGTTAGTGGGGGAAGGAAGGCACGGCTCTTCTCAGGCTTTAATTGCTTTCTCTCTGCTTTGTGTGCATTATTCAAGTGATGTCTGGGAGGCAGACAGTCATTTGCTTCTCCCCACTCCCATACATAGTCCTGGTTTGATTGCTGTTTTAATCTTGCTCTGGATCACCAAGGCTCCCTTCAGTTCTGCTGGAGGCTTTAAATACTCAGTTTCTCCTCTCACTTTCCTCAAGTGACAAAATACAGCCATGATATACCCTGGATTTAGGGAAAAGTTAAATCTAGATGCTAGTTTAGTTTAGTGCTTCCTCAGCACTTCCTCAGCAGGTCTTTCCAGGAAAGAGCCCTTTTCCGTATGAAATGCTGGAGCTGGGGAAGTGTGTACAAATGTTGGGTGATTATCCTTAGAATTCTTAATTGGTAGCATTTAGCTAATGGAATAGCTGATAAACTGATTAATTCCTCCAACTTTCTGTAGTTTGACCTAAGTCAGTATTTTGATGAAGTTTTTTTTAAAAGTTTTTCCTGAAAAGAGGGAAAACTAAGAAATGCTCAATTTTTTCCCCCTTACTCTCTCACCAGGCTTTACCTCATATAATGGAGGAGGGATGAACGGTGCAAGCAAAATGATGGATTTTCTGGAGGAACCACTTCCCGGTGTGGGGACCTATGAAGATTTTAACACTATAGATTGGGTGCGAGAGAAGTCCAGGGACCGGGACAGGCACAGAGAGGTAACATTTTTTTTACTACTCCTCCTCAGCACTTAAGGCAGAATAGTTAACTTGCTTGGAACTGATCTTAGTTCTGATGATGTTACTAGGAAGCCATTTGCAAGAGAAATATCTAGGGTGGAGGGTTTCCTTATACCATATCAAATTTGCTCAATTCTGAAGCATAGCAAAACCTATAGTTCTACTCATGGAAGATGTGTGCATTATTTGGAAGAATTATATTACTATTATGTGGATTATATGGAAGAACATAAGCACCCATGATCCTGTTATACGCAGTGCTTATTGATAAAGAAATGGGATACTCTTCTGAATAATGCTTTTCCTACTGAAATTTGTGCTGCATGGTTGAAAAGGCTGGAACAAATTCTGCTTCTGCGACTTTGCTGCTGTCAGCAATTAAAGGGATCTGCTTAGAAAGCAAGGATGTTTTAAATAGAGTACCAGTGTCTCCAACATGCTCCTGGTTCATGAGAAGCCCTTGCTGGTGGAGTTCTTGGAGAGTGGTGACTGACCTAAACATGTCTATTTACTTGCCAGAATATTCTGTAATGTTTTATTTTTAAGCCTTACAAAGCAACTTGTGATTTAAATAAGAACAGTACACAAGCTGAACTCAATCCTTGCTGCACTGTGTGTGGGAATACAATATAATGTCATCATTTGTGCAAGTACACACCCAACTAAGAGACTCCATGCCCAGTACTTGCTGCTCACCCCCCTAAATGTTCCTTTCTGTGCTTTCTGAGTACATCTTTCCACATGTACACACACATGCAGACATATACAAAAACAATGTATGTGAGTTTGTAATAAGACAATCTATTTCCTATTTACAGAAAGACATGTAGATAGGGAAATTTCAAGAAATTGAAATTGGATAAAGCTAGAAAATACTGCTGGCCAAAGAGATGTATGTTGGTCAAATAAAAGCCTTTATCAAGGCAGTAGTTTTGTCTGCTACCTCAGCCCTCACCTTCATTCAGTAGCCGTGATGCTGATGAACAGTATTTGAAAGCAGCATTTGAAAGACAAAATCTAGAGGAAAAAAGTAAGGAAAATCATTGAGAAAGAAAGGATTCTTTCTCATTTTAGTGAGGATTAGTTGTTTTCCTCAATGTGCCTTTTCATCTGGGAATAATGATGGTGTTCTGGAATGCTTGTGTTGTGAAAGGAGCCAGGGCAGTGGGCACACAGTAGCTGTTGCTTGCCTCTTTGTGCTGCTGTCAGGCACAGTCAGACTGACAGGGCTGGCAGGCTGCAGCCATCCCTGCCTATTGCAGGCAGACCCAGCCTGAGCCTGCGAGGAACTCACTGTACTGTGGCATCTGGGCTCTGAGAACAGCTCTGAGTCCAGCTTTCAAGTCCATCAGCGCTCGTTACTTCTAGACCTCATAAGTCATTTCCAAACTGTTGGTTTTCGGCCTGCTGATAGACAATACTGCTACTCCTTACAAATATTGAGGGAGCAGCTGGAAACCACAAAAAAGTTGGTGACAACAACTGCTTTCTCAGTTGCTGTGGTATCAATAGCGCAAGGCAGCACAGATAAGTTGCTGGGGGCAAAGTGCTCAGAGGGCCCCATAAGCATTCATTTGCCTGTGGCATCAAGCTACTAACAGCTTGGTACTGCTAACTAGTAACACTTTCTAAAGGCTATGAGATCAATTTTGTTTGCTTTTTATGCAGAAGACATTTAGGAGGAAAGTGGTACGTGAATATTTGTATTCACACCAGGATAAGTGGAAGTATCTTTTATCCGTTCTTGTCTGTGTCCTAAAAGAGCCGTGTTGCCCTGTACCAGCTACAAATGCAGCCACTAGTTGATATTTTTCCTCTTTCCCCTCAAAACGAAATATATTGTGATAGCTTTTATTTTGAATTGTAGGGATGCTTTCACTAACGGTGTCACCATGCACATCTCAGAGCGCTTACACCAAAATAGATCAGTGTCTCAACAGATTGTTTTTTTTTTTCTTATTTAATAACCTTTTCTTCTAGATTACCAGCAAAAGTAAAGAGTCAACGTGGGCCCTGATACACAGCGTGAGCGATGCCTTTTCTGGCTGGTTGTTGATGCTGTTCGTTGGGTTGTTGGCAGGTAAGAACAAACCTTAATTTTAAACATTGATTCCTTGCATCAGCTCTGATATATTATTAGAACAGGAAGTTTTGTCCCAGAAACAAGCGCTGAGGGACTGTGCTGATGCTTGTCTCTCTGCTACTGCTTGCAATTTAAGGAGAATTATTTCTGAATGCTTTGAGGTCCTATTTGTGTAAATGCTAAGATAACAAAACTCAGACTGAAAGCTGTCCTGGGCACTGTTCTTCATTTGCTGCTGGTACCTCACTCTGAAATAGACCGGATCAGAGGGAAATGTTAGGATGTAAATAATCTTTGAATGCTTTTTATTAACACTGGAGAGGCTGATGCCAAGGAATGCTAACAAAATTCTTTTTTTTCTCCTCACTCTTCTTGAGAGTAAAAGGTGAGAGATGTTTCTTGGGAAGTCAGGCTTCTTTCAGCAGTCAACTGACCGAGCCCTTTTAAATTAGTTCAGAAGGAAACTTTGGACCCAAGAGTAAAAGAAATAGATCGGCTGGATGCAGATCTTGGTAGAATGCAGCTAAACCTTCAACGTGAGGGATGATATTAAATCTTCTGTTAATATTTACATAGAAAAGCTGCTAGCGAGTTTTTCATTAACTGGAAGATATGCCAAATGTTACCTCTGGAGCCTATACTAGGATTTACTGCTACAGATCAGAGGTCTGTATTCCTGGTCTCTGTGTTGATGTGGCATTTTACCTGAGAGCTGAGATGATAACGCTTTTTGCCTTGGGGATGCTGTAGGAGTTATTCGTAATAGAAAAACAGAAAATTACTTGAAGCTTCCTCTTATAAAATAAAAGTTACTTTCCTTACTGACTGTTTTTTTTTTGTTTTTAGTTGGAATTGGAAATAGTCTCTTCAAATTCAGAGTTATTCCTTGTCCAGTCTTAGCACTGTTACTATAACTCGTGGATCCCATCTCTTGTGCTGGAGACCAGTGACATGTTTTATGTTTTCTCCAGAAACATGATAAGTTCAATCCCTCCAACTAATTTTCATGCTATATTTAATTCCATGTAATTGAGAATAATTAGTTTCTAGTGCAACTTAGAGTGATTTTTACTGCAGTTTGCAAGGTTAACCTTGGAAATATTATTAGCTGTGCTTTGTTTTGTGACCTTCTTTTCAATGTAGACTTAAGCAAATCCTTCCTTTAGTTCTGTAAATAGTAATAATAGAATAAAAGATAATTATAGGTAAAAATAACAGTGCTGCTCTATTTAATGGTAGGTAAGTCAAAGTAGAGACAGAGTAAAACAAAGCAGAGACTTTCAGATACCTGAGTCTGAATCAGATGCTTACTATTAAATTTTCTTTTTTTTCTAAACTAGGTTCCTTAGCAGGTCTAATAGACATTTCTGCCCACTGGATGACAGACTTGAAAGAAGGAGTGTGTTTAGCAGGCTTCTGGTTTAACCACGAGCACTGCTGCTGGAAGTCCAACACAACCTTTACAGACAGAGACAAGTGTCCTGAGTGGATGAGCTGGTCGCAGCTTATTATTGGCCATGGAGAGGTAATGTGTGCTTAGAAATACTTTCAGTGCTGAATATTCCATTTCCCAGCCTGTGTTGTCTTGTTATGATCTGTATATATGTTCTAGAAGTGGAAATTAGGTTTTTCACTGGTTTAACTTTGAATTTTGGGGTTTTTCAGTAAGCAAGTTACATGTTGTCCTCAGTGGGGCATCAAAACATAGTGCACTTGTCACTGTGTCAGCTTTAGTTTTTTGAAACTTGCTGCTTGGAGGAAGTTCTTCCCATGACCATTTTAAAGGACTGCCAGACAAACTCAAATCTTGTGTCTCCAGCAGCACTATCAAGTAGAGCAGCAGCTTGACTGGGACAGTGTTTGTGTACCTTGTTTGCCATTTCATATAATGGCTTTTGGAAATATGGTTGGCTCACAGGCCTCTAATTCAGCATATGCAACTTGTCCTTGGAACTGCAGACTTACTGCAGTTCCTTTTGATCTGATGATAACTGTATTTGAGGTTACCTGCTATTTCTGTGTGCTTGCTTCAGTGCCCTGGTTTGATGTAAGCTTAATTGAATTTGGTTAACTTTCTCTGCATTTCAGGGGGCTTTTGCATATATTCTCAACTACTTCATGTATGTTATCTGGGCTTTGTTATTCTCCCTTCTTGCTGTGTTACTTGTGAAGGGCTTTGCTCCTTATGCCTGTGGCTCAGGAATCCCAGAGGTGAGTGAAGGTGTGGGTGTTTTTGTTTTTTTTTTTTGGTATGTATTTAATTGGTTGGATTTTTGTTTGTTTGTAAGCTGGGGTAATTGAGAGATTACACTTGCCTGCTGCGGAACTGTTATATCAAGTCACCATATGTCTCTAGTATATATGTTTTTTTTCCAAACTTTGTTACTGAAACATGTCTGGTTCTAAGTCTCCATATGATCTCTTTCAGTAAATTTATTTTATTTTTTAAAGTAAATACCAAAATTTACTACAGGAGATACAAACAGAAATGTTCTGTTTGTGGAAGACAGAAAAGCAGCATGAGGTTATTTTTTGCTAAGAAAAGCAGCCCTGAAGGAAAGGCTAAAAGGGCTATTTCTGTCTTTGCATGTAGAGATATTTTTATTGATTATATGTTACCTTTGATAGCTGGGGAGGGAGGGACTCTGAAAACTGTAGTGGAAAGCTAAGGCAGGACTGGTGCTGCCTATCAAATTGGGAGCTCTGACCAGGGCTTGAATGAAAGCCTGTAGAGCTCTGTGTGCTTGACTTGCAGATCAAAACTATCTTAAGTGGTTTCATCATTAGAGGCTACCTGGGCAAGTGGACGCTGATCATCAAAACCATTACCTTAGTGTTGGCGGTGTCCTCTGGCCTCAGCCTGGGAAAAGAGGGCCCCCTGGTGCACGTTGCCTGCTGCTGTGGAAACATCCTGTGCCATCTCTTCACCAAATACAGGAAGAATGAAGCAAAGCGAAGAGAGGTAAAGTGATGTAGTGATATTTCATTAAGAATGGTGAGACAGTAGTAGGGATGTAAACAGCAGAAATGTTTAATGCTTTCTTTGCCTCTGTCTTCAATGCCGATGCTGGGCTTTGGGACCGTTGGAGCTCTGAATTGGATGACTGTGACTGCAGTAATGATAAACTCCAGCCAGCTCTGAGCTTATGTGAAATTTGCTGCTGCAGCTGGATGCATATAAGTCTATGGGGACTGATGGGATTCATCCCACTGTACTCAAAATGCTGGTTGGTATTCACTGCAAGACCTCTCAATTAGTTTCCAGTCATCTTGGGATTGTGGAGAAGTGTCAGTTGACTGAAGATGGCAAATGTTTTCCCAGTTTTCAAGAAGGGCAACAAAGATGACACTGCTAATTGAAGGTCTGTCAGTCTCACTTTGGTGCCTGGCAAAATTATGGAGAAGATTGTTCTGTGAGTTAAATGAAAAAAAAAAACAAAAACAAAAAAAAAAAGCCCTAAAAGATAATGCAGTCATTGGTCACTGGTTAACAAATTCATTCCCCTTTTAGGGCAAGGTTACCCATGTAGTTGACCGAGAGAAGCCATTGATGTCATACTTCTGGGTTTCAGCAAAACTTTTCATACTGTTTCTCACAGTGTCCTTCTGGACTAAATATACAACATACACCTCAACAAAAACATAATGTGATGGGTGAACAGTTGACTGAGCAGTCAGGATGAAGGGGTCATAGTTAATGGAATTAGAGCAGGCTGGTGGCTGTCATTAGTGGGGCTCTGCAGGCCAAGGCACTTCAATATTTTCATCAGTGACATGGGTGCAGGATATGAGGATACACTAAGAAAATCTGTGGACAGCACTAATTTAGGAAGAACTGTTGACTACCTCAAAGATATAAGAAGAACATAAAACTATTAAAGATAGTTTTGTTTAACTAAAGCTTTATGTGAGGTGAAATCAGGTGAAACAGAATATGGTAATTGCAACTATGTTGGTTCCGCTGATTTAGGAGTTGAATTACTTAAATGCTAATTGTTTCTGGTTTTGTTTTTGCTACTTTGGAATTACAGGAGTTAGCTCTCACTCCATTTTTTCCCCTCTCATCTTTAAAGCAGATCAGACAAGCTTATTCTGTAGTGATTGCAGATTTATTTGTACTTTTTTTTTTCTTAAGTAAAGACATCTAACAAAAAAGTGGAACGTTTTTGATGGGGAAATTGAAAATGTGTGACTGACTTGAGTTTTTCCTCACAGGTTTTATCAGCAGCTGCAGCTGCTGGTGTGTCTGTAGCTTTTGGTGCACCGATTGGAGGAGTGCTCTTTAGTCTGGAAGAGGTAACATCAGCATTTTCTATTAGCTCTTCATGAGCCATTTTATTGCAAGAACTGACCCTGCTGGTTTGAAAATACAGTCCACTCATAACTACTTGGGTATGGAAAGGAAACCCTGTTGAATACTGACTTGTGGTATATTTTAAGTCTGCCAAGCAACCTAAACTTTACTGGGGATTCAGGTAATTCTTATGGGTGCTAGAGAACTTATTTTGGATTATGCATTTCTCTAGCTTTGCAGTAAACCTGCTAGATTTCCCCAACCTGTCCGTGCTCACCAACACTGCTCACAGCTACAGCCTCTGTCGTGTTTTCTGTATGCCCATATTCTGTTGTCAGCTCTGTCACAGGCTGCCTCACAACTGTCACAGGCTGCTCATCAAACTCCTTTTCTTACCAGTGAAGTTTTTATTTGTATTCTTTTGATTCAGACCTGAAGTGGATCATCACTTCTGTCTTCAGGGTTTAACTCAGAGAAAGATGGGATGGCTTTGCTCAGCTGAGCAATAGTTGTAGTAGCTGCTTTGGCAAACACAATTGTTTGGCACTTCTGGACCTTGCGAGCATGCAAGACAGATACTCCTCCAAATTCAGCGTATAGCTGAATTTGTAGTAACTTATCTGAGTAAATTGTCTCTGCTTAAGGGATCATAGAGAGATTTTGCTACACTGAAAATGTGTGCAGACCAGCATACATACTGGTTGTTGTGATCTGTGTAGAAGGGAGCTCAAAATCAAATCTGGGGTGCTCAGCTGAAGGACAGGGTATGTATCCAATGAACTCCAGTCTCAGTTCTTGCTTTGTAGTTCATGCAATAGTTTTGTTACTGGGCAACAATCAGTGTCGTGTCAAGTGACAGAATCTGCTTTGTTTTCCCTCTTTAGGTCAGTTACTATTTTCCTCTCAAGACACTGTGGCGTTCCTTCTTTGCTGCTCTGGTAGCTGCATTTACTCTGCGCTCCATCAATCCTTTTGGGAACAGCCGCCTGGTTCTCTTCTACGTGGAGTTCCACATGCCATGGCATCTTCTGGAGCTTGTGCCGTTCATCCTTTTGGGAATTTTTGGTGGGCTTTGGGGAGCTTTCTTCATTCGCAGCAACATTGCCTGGTGCAGGCGACGCAAGACAACCAAGCTTGGTAAATACCCTGTGCTCGAGGTGTTTGTAGTGACTGCCATCACAGCCATCCTGGCCTTCCCGAATGAGTACACCAGAATGAGCACCAGTGAACTGATCTCTGAACTCTTCAATGACTGTGGGATTTTGGACTCTTCCAAGCTCTGCGAGTACGTGAATGATTTCAACAGCACCAAAGGGGATGACCTGCCAGACCGAGCTGCTGGCCCGGGAGTTTACACAGCCATGTGGCAGCTAGCTTTGGCCCTTATAATGAAAGTCTTCATCACAATCTTCACCTTTGGCATGAAGGTGAGAATTAGCTGTAAAAGATGTTCTTCTCATCCTGTGCAGAAACTCTGCTCCTTAGAGCTTTTTTTACTTGCCCAGTAAATTGACTGTTTTTTCCCCAAGCCCTGTTAAAAGGGGGAAAAAAACACCTGTGCTTTTTGAGGGGGTGATAGACTGCAGTTATTTGTTCTGTTGTTAGTAACTGAGGGCAGTAGAAACCTTTTATTCTGTGTGTGACCACTAGACCAAGCTGCTGGGTCATGGATTCATAACCTGTGTTCCAAACACTGTATACTTCTAAATTGTCTCTCCTTAAGCATTTTGATACTTTCCCTATATCCCTCCTTTCCTAATTGCAAAGTGACACGAAGCCAGCAGAATGGGAAAATTCTGTGAACTCCATAAATAAATACTCCAATACTCATGTAGTTGGAAAGGCATAAGGGAGTGTTGGTAGTGTTTTAGACCACTCTATTTCACACTAAACTGATGTATAGCTGTTTCTCCTGCTCAGAAAAATGTACATTCAAATTCTGTAACAGAGGTCTTAGAAGATGTGTTGTTTCAGTAAGGACAGCATTGGGCATTTTCAGTGCTGTTGCTTGTTCAGTTCAAGGACACAAGGAGGCGTTCTCTCACCACTTTTTTGGTGCTGGACAAGCAGAAGTGATGGAGCATGGCATCCATACCAATTTTAACTTTAGTATAACCTCTAAATCAGTCTTGATTTAAACTTCTGACTGTCACTAGTCTTTGAACACTGTTTACTTGAGAAATGCCGTATTTCCTGATGTGTTTTTTCATAGGTCCCCTCGGGTCTCTTCATCCCAAGCATGGCAGTTGGTGCTATAGCAGGCAGGTTGCTAGGGGTAGCAATGGAGCAGTTGGCATTTTATCACCATGACTGGATCATCTTCAGTGGCTGGTGCAGTCAAGGAGCTGACTGTATCACTCCTGGCCTGTATGCAATGGTTGGGGCTGCAGCATGTCTAGGTAAGCAAGAGATATCTCTTGAAGTCCTAGTACAAGTTTGAATCTTGCTTGCTTATCTGAATGTGTAGTAGTGAAATGCTGATGATGCTCTTGTAGTCTGTGTTTAAAAACAGAAAACAATAGGAAAAACAAACAAAGTAACTGGCTCAATCTCAAGAACAGGGAATGTCATAGTATAATATCTAATGTGTTTCTCATCCTGTTTGCATTTTACTAGCATCAATCTATCATTGGACATGATAAATTTCAGTGGAGAATCTCCTGAATGTGTAGCTAGAACAAGTGAGACTGGCCAGGGGCTTGAGATTTCAATATAGGGAAGCCTTGCTGTTAGGAAAATTAATGATAGCAAGCAGAGGATGTCAGGATGCCACTTGACCTTTGTGTATAGCTTGTCATAGAGATCAGTTCATGAATCTCTTTATGGTTGTTATTTGTAAGGCCATTTTATGTCATGACCAGACTGTTTTGCAGCTAGCTAAATTTCATGTTAAGTAACAGCAAATTGGCACTAGGAAATGTTTTGACATATTATATAGTCTTAAGAAGTAAGTTTAGAACAGATAAGCCACATTGTTCACAGAGCTCTGTAATTCAGATGATGTGCAATCAAAGGACATGTGACACTGGGGTATGTCCTGTTGCCTCAATTGAAATTAATGTCATCTTTGGAGGGCAGCTGTAGTAAATGTCAGGACAGCTTTCCTGGCTGTAAATCTCTATTAACTATGTTAATGTCTTCTGTTTTTCTGTGTTCTTTTTGTAGGTGGAGTGACCCGAATGACTGTGTCACTAGTAGTCATTATGTTTGAGCTCACTGGAGGACTGGAATACATAGTTCCTCTGATGGCAGCAGCCATGACCAGCAAGTGGGTGGCAGATGCTATTGGGCGGGAGGGCATTTACGACGCCCATATACGCCTCAATGGCTATCCTTTCCTGGAAGCCAAGGAAGAGTTCTCACACAAGACTCTTGCAATGGATGTAATGAGGCCACGGAGGAATGATCCTCCTCTGACTGTCATCACTCAGGACAGCATGACAGTAGAAGACATTGAGACCATAATCAATGAAACCACATACAGTGGCTATCCAGTGGTGGTGTCACGGGAGTCCCAAAGGCTTGTTGGATTTGTCCTCAGGAGAGACCTCATCATTTCAATTGGTATGTGTGAGGAAGCAAGATGCTCTACAGATGAATGGCGCAGAGTACAGTTAGAGGCCTTCAAGTGGCACCAACTCTTAATTTACTTCACAAATTTGAGTCAGTAGTGATGGTGGCTGTACTTACAGAAGCCTGCATCTCCATCCCCCAGCATTGTGGGGTTTGCGTGCATTGAGAGAGAGGGACAGCATGGCTTGACCAGTGCAGTTAGTATGGCTGTGCTAAATTCATAAATCTTGTGAAGCATGAGGTGTCTTGAGCTCTGTGGTGTGTTCTCCAGTTTGTGGTTTAATGCACTGTTGTAACACAGGCTTGATGCCTGTTGTATGGATGGTGAGAAGTTTTGGTTCCTCAGCTGTTTATATACTATGGCAGAGATAGAATACTTCTTGTAATAAGTTGCCTACAGCTGTGACTCAACCCTGTGTGTTCTTCTAAGGTAAGTTTTAGGACATACAGCACATTGTATTGGAGCATGCAATATACAGAAAAAGTGCAGTAACGTATAATTATGGACATTTCCTTTCTTTTGTCAGGCTGTTTTGTGGTATGACCATGAATTCCTGGGTTTGTGTTATTCTGAATCTCTTGGGAATCCTTTAAAAATAGTATTTTTCACAGGATGCATGGAATATGGGATTTTGCTTTTGACAGCCTGCTTTGAATATCAAGTCTGGTGTTTTGGATGCCAAGTTATTCGCTGCCCAGTGAGTCTTGGAATGTAAATATCAAATTGAAACAGCAATACAGCAGACATCCAGATTGTCCAAGTAGCAGGAGTAGACAATAATGCACTGGTGTGAATATCTGAGTGGTATCAAGTTCTTGACACCATGTTGATGGCTTTTTTTAAATTTATTTTTCTGTTCTTGACTCTGGTTAGGAAGCGTGGAGTCTGAGCCATTAGGTTATGCACTTAAAAATACTGCTTTAGCTACCCTGCTGGGACCCACAGCAGTGACTGGTAAAAGGACAAATTACTTTATTTACCTGCTCTTAAACTGGTGAGTTAAAGATCTCCAGAACTTGCATTTATACAGTATGTCCTCTGACTGGAAAACACATGCAGCGGTTATTATTTCTGGAGGTGAAAATATGCTGTCTCTAAGAGTTTGTATCCTTTTGGCTGGAGCAAAATGCTGAAATACGTAGGCTTGACATTAAGCAAAGTGCTGTAACATGGTGTTCTGAGCTTACTCTTATGGTGAGGCTTTGAAGTCCTTAGAGAATAGAAAGGGGGATGGAATCATGTCACCACTTGGGTCATTAGGTACGGGTTTTGAGAAACATAAATGGACCTCTAAGGTCATCTCAGTGTGGCAAAGAGAAAAAGGTATGCTCTTCAATTTAGAAAAGGAAAAGAGGGATGATATTTAATCAAATATTTTTTCTTTCAGAAAATGCCCGGAAGAAGCAGGATGGAATTGTTAGCACTTCAATTATTTATTTCACTGACCACTCTCCTCCACTGCCTCCAAGCTCCCCCTCTATGCTGAAACTCAGGAGCATCCTGGACCTCAGTCCTTTCACAGTGACAGACCAAACACCTATGGAAATTGTCGTGGATATATTTCGCAAGCTTGGATTGCGCCAGTGCCTCGTTACTCACAATGGGTAAGAAGGTAGCCTTGGGCCTGAGGTCCCAATGGATTATGCTGGATTAGTTGAGGTCATTGAGCTGTTCAGCTCAACTGTGGCAGGGAAAACTCCATGCAGGAGTTTGGATCTTGGGTTTGAATCTAGATGATCTTTAAAGGTCCCTTCCAGCTCAAACCATTCAGTGATTAAACTTCTAGATCTGAGTCAGAACCTCTTCTTCAAGAGAGCAGAGGCCTCTGGTGTGTAGAGCTAAGCATCGCTCTGGGCAAATGCAATCTGGAAAAAAAACAGTTGTGAACCCTTGAACCTCTTTCAGTTGAAACAGTAACATAAACTCTGTGAGCTAGTGAAATGGTCAGACACAGCTCTGTGTGGCCATGGGTTTGATATACCTAAAATTAATGAAAAACTCACAGCCTTTTGTTACAAATCTGGTCACATACCTCTTGAAATCACTGTGGTATCAATTCTGAAGCACTGTGCTTAGTGAGGTGGGAAGGAATGAGAGCAAAGAATTAAAAAAAAAAAAAAGCTATCTGCTCCTTGAAGAGCCAAACTAAAGAGGAGTTCTCTCCCTGTCCCTCACTGTGGTGCAGTTGGACCAGTTGTTCTTTCCAGTTTCTGACCGAAAATAGCATTGTTAAGCAACACTTCCCAACAGAAGTTGTCTTAGTTCCTATCATGACTGTTCCAAACAGCTTTGCTTTGGAAACTGAGCTGCTGACAGAAACAACACTTAAAATGTAATCCTAGATGTTCAGGTCCATCTGTTTGGAGAAGACAGGTAGGTGTTAATAAAAATCATTAGCATGTCTTGGCAGAGTGTCTGCTGGGGCTGACGAGTACCATATTTTGCATGAAGTTTCAGTATTGGATCCATGTAAGTACTTCAGCTACTGCAATACGTTATAGCTGCCATAGGAGAAGTTATGCAAGAGCAAGCATCCTCGGGTGCTGATGCATTAAAAATGTGTTTTCATTTTTTTAGGAAACTACTTGGGATCATTACCAAGAAGGATGTACTAAAGCACATTGCACAGCTGGCTAACCAGGACCCAGATTCTATACTCTTCAATTAAAGGCAGACTAGTAGGTATTGTGTGTTAAACACAAAAGATACTTTGTAGAAGATTCTGGATATTCTTTCTTATTTTTATTGAGACCTTGGAACTATTTTCAGCATTTCCTTCCATGGAGCTGAAGATTTTTTTTTTTTTTCTACATGATAACCAATTGCACTACGTAGTCTGTGGAAAAATAATCTTCTTTTTAGAAGAAAAAAAGACTATTTACATTGCTTTTGTGAAGTTGCATTGGAAAGATTCCATGAAGGAGTAAAAGCAAAGTGCTACAGAATTATATATCTTCTTATTATTTTATTTGAACTCTTGTTACTAATGTGGATAGGGGAAGACAAGGTTTATACCTTCAGGAACTTTGAAGGAGGATGATTTTGCACACAGTATTCAGGTGGTGGCAGAACGATACAGTTGTAACTCAGGGGCAGTGTATTCCCAATTAGTTACTTAGTGAAAATAAGAACCTGGTAAAATAAAAGAAAGAACAAGAACACCCAAACAAACAAAAAGTGCTGAAAAACACCCTTGTAAAATGATCAGGTGGCTCTGTAACTAACCCCACACAAGAGCTTCACTCCTCAGTAATCTCTGTTGGCTTACTGATGATATTTTGCTGAAAGAGGGGAAAAAAAAAAAAATCTCCAGGTGACCAATCTTCTTGAAATTGGGTTTGGTTTCTGATTGGGAAGAAGTTTGTTTTGATTAATCTTCTGTGAATGTATTTAATTATTCTCTGATGCTGGCTTGCTAGGAGAATCCAGAGAAGGAGGCGGCAGGAGGAGTTAGTAGTTGTATTCTTGTCATCATCTCTATTTTGATATATGCCTAAGGATTTCTTCTTGATTTCTCTTGAGCATGTAATTAAAATTGCAAAGACTGAATCCTAAAGCCCTGGCTTTACTGCACTTCCAAGTAAACTTTGATCATATTAGATGTTGCACAATTGACCTCTTCCTTAATCAGCAGTGTCTTATGTTGCTGAGGATGTCTTAATGGAGACTCCTGGGCCTGGGATGTTTACGTGGATGCATTTTCTGTTCCCTGCTCCTCTCCTCAGCCCCGCACCAAACTCAGGCTTGGATCCTGGCTCTAGGATGGAGAACACTGCCACTTTATGTATGTTCACCGCTCGGTGTCTCATTTTACCAACAACTATGCAATAAAAACCTTTCCTGACCACTATCAGCAATGTAACTTGTTCCTGAGTTGCTCTGTTCCAAGTCTGTGCTTCTCAAATCTGTGTTCAAATTCATTTTCTGTTAATAAGGTGGTGATAGTTTACTGGAATTTTGAAGGTATATAAATGCCTTTGAGGGTTATTATATTCATAAGGGATTCTGTCTGTAGCAGGCTCCATATCACTATCTGTGCCTGAAGCTTGTTAGTGAAAATAGAGCTCAGTGCTGTCAGTGCATCTGGCAGGAGCTGAGCTGTTTGGTACTGGCCAGGGGGTTAAGGGCTGTGAGGAATCTAACTGTGCTTCCTGATGGACAGAAGTAAGCAGGTGTTATGCTTTGCACCTCAGCCCTAGAGGCTCTGGTGCCAGCTGCTCAGCCTGGGCTGGGGCTGCAGGGTGAGGCTGAGCTGTGGTGGCAGGAGGTGATGGGTTGTCATTGTGAGGCCACTGATGCTGCACAGGGTAATGCTGTTTGGTGGTCAGCTGGGGCTCCTGGCTACAAGTGGCTGGCAACATTCTCAACCTTAAACTCGCTTAGGTATAAACCAAGTCTTCATCTGTACTTGAAATAGAAGCCAGTCCATTTCTGTAACAGCTGTTAGCATGTGATACTGGACTTGGTCACCATGGCTGAGTCTCCTAATCAGGGAGGGGAAAGGAGGAACTATTTGTGGGAAGGCAGCAGTAGCCTTAGTCCGTGTGCCAGGCGGGCAGAGGAGGTGCTGACAGGAAATCCCAGTTGTGGGCTGGAGTGTCACAGCTGCCTGGTGCCTTAATCCCCAGCGGAGAAGCTGTTGTGGAAGCTGGCAGGGCAGTGAACATAGGCTGTCAGAGCTGACCGCACAGCCCAGCTGTCCTGAGAGGCTGGGAGCATTTGAAATGCAAACATCACATTGGCATCAGACCAGTTTGTTGGGCTTGTGGTAAGGTTTTAGTAGCAAAGGCTGCTGTGAGCAGACCAGAAGCTGTGGCACATTAGATGAGAGCTGACTACACAAGAGACCACTGCTGGCCAGAGCTGAGCCATGCTTGGTTCTCCAGCATTCTATGCTCTCCTGTGTGCAGGTAATTCCTCTGAGCTGTCAACCCAGGGAGGACAGGATTGCCTGATAAGCTGCAGAAGAAATTCATTCCGGGATTTCTGAAGGTGATGATTTGGGTGGAGTGGGGACAAGGGGCCATCAGTGTGCCTGTCACATGGCTTCCTGGCATGGGAAGCTGCCCAGAGGAGGTTGACCTGAAAAAATCGTGCCCAGGAAGGCAAGAGGGAGGGAAAACACACGGAATTCGTAGGAAAGCCTGGAAGAGCTGCGTTTTAGAGAAGCCAAGTCCTCATTAGGCCAAACCAAACAAGAAGAAGGTGGGCAAATAAAAAGGTTTTGCAATGGTAAGAGGCCTTGTTTTGCTGGCTTTGGAGAAGAGAGAAACTGCCTCTTGCCTGAGCATACTTTTCCACTCGCACATCTTTGCCTTTGAATACACAGTTTAAAGAACAGGTGGGAGCTAGGTGAAAATAGAAGCTCAGGGCCATTTTGTAGCCTACTCTCAGAGAAAACCTAATGACCACATAAAGACCAATGGAAATTGTGTCCATGTAATTAAAATACTTATTCCAGCTCCAGACCTCTCTCTGAGGTGTGGTTTTCTGCATGGAAACTTGCAGCAAAACTGCATGGTCAATACCATTCCATTAGATGCAGCAGTGATGCCAGAACACAGGGCTCGTGGGGGGTTTTGCTGAGATGGGTGTATAGCTCCGTACTGGGGCTGATGCCTTGGTAAAGTGCCTGTTATGGAGGCTCCTGGCTGTTTGGTGCCAGCTTTTATTTAATGGAGTGTCTCATCTCTTAAGTTCCTACCAGAATGAGTTAAACTTTCATCAGAAATTCTGTGCAGGGCAAAAATTATGCTCAGTTTTATTGAGCTGAAGCATTTTCTATGTTGATCATAGTCATGCTGGCTTGGCAATAGGTTTCCCTGCCCAGGGAAGTTGTAGGGGCTGGGAAGGGTTTTGCCCTGTGCAGTTCGTTCTTGCTGTTGTATTGTTTTCAGAGAAGACTCCAGGGGGAGCCCTAGAGTTTCTTTCCAGGAAACGGTTCATTATTCAGGTCATAACTGGAGGCACTTCAGGGAGGGATTTGATAAGTGGTTTTATAAATCCTTACCCTTGATAAATGAAACCAAGCCTATAAGTTCAGCAGCTAAGCAAGAAATGCGATGCTGTTTTCCTGTAAACAGGACTGGTTTAAAGAGCCCCCTGCTTCCTCTAGCTGCTCAAATCTGCCTCGCTGAAGGAAATAGGTTTGCTGTGTTTCAATCGCCTCTTGCAAAGGCTTAGCAGATTCACAGCAATGAGCCCTTCTTTGTGAGAGCAGAACTGTGTCGTGGGATGCACAGGGAGGTGAGCATGGAGTGTAGGAGGAGCTGTGGGGATTCCTGTGCCTAGGTTTGTGTGATAGCAAGGCTGTAACCTCGTAACCTCCTGCATGCGCTTTCTCTTTGTGCACTTTATTTACAGTGTTCCAAGAAATGATTTCCTGGGGTGTTGGCATGTTTTTCAACATTGATTTCCTCCTTACCTCAGAACTCTGGGCTTGGGACTTGAAAGTAAAAGCAGATCTTGTTTGAAATGGAACAAAGGACTTGAATGTAGCGATGAACTGGTCAGTATCAACAGAAAAGAAATAATGGCAATTTCAGCCCCAGAACTTATTTAGAGACAAAGGGCAATGAAGCTACCTTTCTAAAGGTCCTGGCCTGTCTGGCAAGTTTGTTTGAGCTGTCTGTGCAGCCACACAATGAACTGGGAGCAGAGCTTCAAGGCAGCGTAGATAAGACCTTACTTTGGCAGCAGCTACAAGGAAGGAATACGTGTCCAGATCAAATAAACACAGTGAAGCCATGAGAATTAAGGTCATCCTGAACATGTTATTAGAGCTGTCATTCTGTCTCCCCATGTTTCTTAAAGCATCGGAAAAGGGCAGGGGAGGTTTCTGAAATGCCAGCTGGCAGACTGTTCAAAGCAGGGCTGTGGTGCAGGGGGTTGTGGTGGGGAAGGGGTCTGTGCTGGTGTAGTGGTGGGTTTACTCAGTGCATGTTTTTGGAGTGTTTTCAAGGAGTGCTTCAGTTTGAGGTGCAGTGGCTTTCCTGTGCAGTTCTGCGCTGTGATGGCAGAAACCTGAAGTGGCACTCGTGAAGAGTGTCTGTGCTGGTCCTTCTGCCTTTGGAATGGGAAAGGCACATTTCTTTTCCATTACTGGAGTACTTTTGTAACCGGGCTGCCGGGACCGAGGTTTAGCAGCGATCCTTTCCCAGCAGCTGTGGTTTCCCTACGAAGGCACAGGCAGGCACGCAGCCGGCACCTGCCCGACATTGACCCTGGTCTGCAGGAGGAAATCACTGCTGGGCAAAGTAACACTGCCACAGGCGAGCAGATGAGTAATGGTACAGATGGTATTATATATGTGCTGCTAGGTGGCAAATGATCTGCGTGTGTGTTTATCCAGACACACACACAGTGTATACAGGCACGTATAGGATTTTTGGTGTAAAATCTGTGACACGGGGTCAATCAAGGTCTTTGACTGGTGTTGACGGTGACACCAGGAATAGGCCATGAATCAGATGAGATCTGGTGATAACAAATGCTTACTGATAACATCACTTTGGGCTGGTGGACTGAGAAGTAGAGAGGGTCCATAGGACCATGCTGCTGATGGCTGCTGCAGCTTTCCATGAATGTAATGTGTGAAGGGAAGGCTGGAGTGCCTGTGCAATGATACTGTTCCTTTTTCAGAGACAGCAGAAACAGCTGGCCCACGTCCTTGCTCCTTGAGCTCTGGGCTGTCAGCGCTGGCAAAGGCAGTGAGACAGCCCAGAGCCCTGTGGGGAAGTGAAGCAGAGTGGGGACTTCTTCATCAGAGCTTGGTCTACTGCAGTGTGTGGCTGCAGGCCTGGTCTACCCAACAGCTTCAGTGGTGCTATTGCCAGCAGCTCCATTTCTGGGAGATGCTTCCAACTCTCTCCTATGGCTGAGCCCTGTGGAGCGCACACACAAGGACGAGAAAAGCTGTAGAGCTATAGGAGATGCAGAGCCAAGCTGCACACCTTTGTGCCAGTTACCTGTTTTTTTCCAGACCAGTTTCTCTCATTGCCCAGTACTGCCTGGCTCTAGCCACTCTGGTGAGGCTGCCAGCTGGCCATGCAGTTTATTTTCTACAAAAACATCTCCCCTGCAGGACACTGCAGCAGCCCCGTGCCTCACTTGGCACACAGCTGTCCCAGGTCATGCAACAGGAAGGTTTACCTGGAGTGCTGTCAGCTCCTGGATGCTGCATGAAAAACAGTAATCTGGCTCTAGCTGCCCCTCCATGCTGGGGGAAAGCTCAGCTATGTTTCAGAGACAACCTTTGAACCACCTGCTGTTTCCTGGCAGAACCCTGGAAGGCTGATTGCTGCTGCTGCTCACCAAGCTGGTGCAAAGATGAGAACTGCAGGAAACAAGGTACTTTTTGAAGGAAGGGCTTTTAACTAGCACCAGAAACCAACTAGACTGAATGATGCAATGAGAGCTGCTGTGTTTGGGGATCTTCGCATAACAATCTTATGCATAACCCAGCTGGACTGCAGGCCTGTGTTTTGTTTGTGTTGGGCAAGAGCAAAACATGACTAAGATGCGGCACCGCCAAGCCTCGCCTCCTGCACAGCACCAGGGAGGGGCTGCTGGGGCTGGAGCAGGGCTGCACCCCTCTGAGCCCTGCCTGGACAGGAGTCAGGGACTAGAGTTGCACAGCAGAGGAGAAAGGGACATGTTGGGTGTAGAGGGTGCTGGGTGCAGAGCAGAGGTGTCAGGCAGAGAAAAGTGCGTTAGGGGCCAGGTGATGCAGAGCAGGCAGGGTGGAGGAGGGAAACATGGGTTACCAGACCACAGCATTGCTGCTGGGGAGGTTTTTTTATCAGCCTTGCTGGAGTAGGAGCTGCAGTAAGAGCTTGCCTTTTCCTTGGCCTGGCAGGATAGGGAGAGGGAGGTAAACGCCATCTGTTTGTGGGGAGGGAGAGATCATGTTCCTGATGCAGGGAGGCATGGGAAGTGCCCTGGCTCATTCTGCACTGGATCACAGCCGTGGCTGATGATGCAGAGAAAGTTTAGGCCTGGGGTGGACAGCAGGAACAAGGAGCAGTTCCTGCCCAGCCTTAGCAGGAAGGGGAGCAAGCCCATGTCAGCTTCCTGGGGCTTGGATTGGGTGGGCCTGAGCCATCCTGGGCCCTGGGAGGCCGTGAGCTGGCTCAGCAACCCAAAAGCAGAATGAGGAGCAGAATAAGGACCCCCCCAAGCAGCTGGGAGGGATGTAGTTAGCCTCCCAAGGCCCCAACTCCCGCTTCTTCTGGACAGCTGCTGATGGGAGCAGTGTGCTTCCTGCACCACATGTCTGAGCCCTTCTCTTTCCCAGCACTGGGGGAGGGAGAGCTGCTGGTCCTGGGCTCAGTGGGGTGGGGGCTGAATGCCCAGTTGGGCTTAGCCAGCATGCAGGGCTGCAGCAGGAGCTGCACCTGGCCCTGGTAGGGAATGCACCAGGCTTAGAAGCAGAGGTGTGTCTCTCTGGGAAAGCCTGGGGCATTCACAGGGAGAGGGCGCAGCTGCCTTGGCATGACTTTAGCCTGGGCTGTGGAGCCATTGGTGATGCAAGATGAGACAAGACCCCACTGCTGCCTGCAGCCTTCGCTGTTTGCAAGTCGCGGGGCTGGAGCTGCTGGGAATCACACACATCTGTTCCCCCAGGCGCCCTTGGCACTTGCAGCTCTCGCTCAGTACTGAGCTGCTCCACCACTCCTGGTGCCTTGCTGCAGGCGCTGTGCAGGGAACAGGGCTGGGAGCACAACTCTGCGGGCTGCAGTGGGCAAACCAATCTTCTGTGCCCAGCCTGTGCCATGCTCTGCCTGCAGAAAGCCTCTGCTGGGCTGTGTGCTATAGCAAGGAGCGCAGTGGGAGAGCAGATACAGCTGCTCTGCAGTGAGGGGCTGCGTGGCGCTCAAGTGCTTCGCAGTGTCCTAGCACAGAGCAGATGGCTGTGCTAGCCTGGACATCATGCTGTCTGGTTGGACCAGCAGCACTACTACGTGGTGGTACAGGGCTAAATACCCACCTTGAGGCTGCTGTACAGAGGTGCAAGGCTAGGGCTGGAGTACAGGATTTATTTGAAAGCAGCACTGAGACGCCCCAGAACTGTGCTGGCAGGAGGGGTGTTTGTGTCCTTTGTGGCAGCTTGTGCTGCTGGCCTGTCCTTGTACATCAACGTTCATAATATACAGAGTATACAAGTTATTACCAAAGTGGTCTATGTCCACACAGTGTCCATGGGCCCAGCCAGCTTTATCATGCTCTGCTCTGCTTGAACCTGTCTTTTGTGTCTGATGTGTCCTGGAGATTTAGTAACAGGGGTTTGGTTTTGTCCTGGGTCCTGTGCCACTACTGCCTGAGCTGAAGTGTGGCCTGGGCAGCAATCCTGGAGGGTGACAACTGATGTGAGCAAAGAGCGGCTCTGCTGCCAAACAGTGCTGGGAGAAACAAAATCCCAAAGAAAGGGATGCTACGTTAGAAGCAGAGGGAGGCGAGATGTCAAACTCCTCGTCTTGGTGGTCCTGTGCACGTGAGGTGCCCCACAAGATGGCCCAACTTGTCCCCAGCATGCGGATGCTGGCCCTGCTCAGCCACCAAGGGGCTGGGGCACCCCTTTTCTGCACGGTCATTGCTGTCACATGAGGCTCATGAAAAGTTGCTGAGGACCACGTTGCAGCCTGTGCACAGCTGGTGCCATAGTTCAGTGTCCCTTCCTCGCCGTTAGGGGTTTGTGTGGGCCACAGAGAAGCACCTGGAGTGCTGTATGTACTGCTGTTTGTTCCAGCCTGCTAAGAACCAAGGTGCCAATTTTGCAGGTCTGCAGCTTCCCAGGGAGAAGATGATGCTTTGGATGTGCCACATGCTGGACTCTGTTGATGCTACGTCTAACCTGGGCAAGGAGTGCATCTCTGCCACGTGCTTGGGTGCAGCTGCTTGTGCTGGTAATTATTGTAGCATTATGGCCCTGTTCTTTGCCTCCTCAGAAGCTGAATTCTGGCACAGACCCAGGTTTCTAACTGAACTGAACTGAAACTCCTTGACTATTTCCTGGAAGCTGGTGTTGGATCTGTCCTGTGCCTGCAGGCTGTTTGGCTGTGGGGTGGTGGGCAGCCCTGCAGCCATGCTCCTCATACCACTGCTATTTGCTAACCTTGACTTCTGCCCCAGCACCTCCAGCTCAAGATCCGGGAGCTTGGCAGCATGGTTGGCTATGATTTGCTGCCTGCCAAATCTGGATTCAGACTTGCAGGGGGGTGGTCCTGCCATGAGAAGGGTTAGTCTGAAGTAGTGGCCTCTGTGCTTCTGCCTTGCTGGCGTGGGGGCACACGGATGCACAGCAAGTGGTTACAAGGCACCTGGTGGTGTGACTTGGTAGAAGTGTGTTCTGCTCTGTGTTCCCTCTGCCATCTCGCCCAGCTCCAGCTGACTCCCACCAGGCACAGCAGATGCAGGGAATAACACTATGCCAGGCCCAGCTGGACCGCTGGCCATTTGGCTGCTGTCCCGCACAGAGGAAGGCAACAGCATGAGGGGAGCTGCACACAATGGCAGCTCAAATTGTTTCAGCCACGCAGAAGAGTCAATCCAGCAAGAGCAGAGGGAAGGTGGCTGTCACAGGTCGAGCCGGAAGGCCCCAAAATAGCTGGCTGCTGCATCATTGTAGTCAATGGCCAGTGAGGAGACGGAGACGAAGAGCTCATCACCGGCCTTGAGCTCAAACAGTCCCCCCTGGTAGAGAGCGTGGAGGCCGTATTCTGCCTCGGGTGCCCAGCATTTGGTGCCCACCCCTTTGAGCAGAAGGATGGGCTGGCTGTAGGAGGTCTTCCAGTTGATGCACTGCACGAGCTGTGGCACTGAGACACGGGCGCCGGCCCCATCACGGGAGTAGCGGAAGTAGATCTGGGAGTAGACGTAGTACTTGCCTGCCTGGTTGACCCGCAGCCGGCCATCCCTGTACGTGATGTTCTGCAGGTGTGAGTGGATGGTGCTGTCCTCCCAGCGAGTGATGGCGTGGCGGCAGGACTGCGAGAGGTTCCCGAAGCCCCTGGAGCTTCCTGAGGAGAAGGCAGGGTCACTAAGGGAGCGTACTGCACTGAGGGCACCAATTCAGGGCCAGTAGGGGTGGCCCTATCATGCTCCTACAGCCATTCAGCTTGGAGGTGGAGTGGGGAGGGTGGTCTTGGTCTGGAAAGGACAAACATCTTTCCATCTGCCAGAAAATGCAACCTCCCACACTCAGCTCTTAGGTGGAGATCTCTGGGGGAGATCTATGATTCTATGATCTTTTCCCCGCCCCTACCCCAGAAGCACCCCCGCCACCCTGCTGGCCTCTCCTGGCTCACCGTCCTGGGCTGGGCTCTGTGGGCGGAGGGTGAGATGTGCTGAAGGTTTGCCGAGTGTTTTGGTAGCAACCTGCCCCTCTGAGCTGTTGAAGTAGTTCCTCTGGGCCTCTGCAAAGAAAGGGACAAATGGATTTAGGGAGCAGAGTGCGCAGGGACCTGCAGAGCAATGCTGGCATGTCCTTACTTAGCAACCAGAGAGAATGAGGCAGGAGAACACCCCACTGACCCTACACAGGGGGAGTTCAGTTGGGGTGACTGTGTAGTCAATTATTATCTAACAGCTCTGTGCTGCTCCCTGGGTAGACGGGTTCCCCAGTCTCCAATCCAGCAGACATAACATCCCTCCAACCCTGGGGGGGCAGTCTGCCCTCCCGCCCCAGCTCACAGTGCTGTGTCGGATGGAGTTTGCCCCGGGAGCGGCCGATCACCCTTGACCTGCTGGCACCCCTGGCCCCACGCTGAGCCGTTGCACGTGGACATGGATCAGCCCACGGCACAGCTCAGCGACCCGTGACGCCATGCAGTAAAGGTTCCCCGTAAGCGGAACTCCAACTCCTGCCCCAGTGCTCAGAGGGATGCACTCACCATTCACCACGCTTCTGCTGATAACGTTCTCTGTCACCTGAACCATTAGAGAAGAAAAACAACTCCATGGTTTAAAGATGCAAAGGCTGTTCCCTGCCCCCAGCTCCTCTCATCCTTCCAAGTTTTTGATATGTTCTTTCATGCCATGCCTCTGGACTCTACAATCTCCTCTGTGGAGAGGGTTTGGCATGCAGCCCCTCCTGCAGTCCTGCTTAGATTGAGCCTCTGCCACCCACCAGTGAAGCAGATGGGGAAACTGAGGCAGGCAGGCAAATGGGAGCCCTCCTCTCATGTCTCCCACCCTCCCCAGCCCTGCAGCCAGCACCCCCAGGCTTACCGTGGCCATGTAGGCTTTGATGGTGTTGGCCAACTTGAGGCAAGACTGGTTGCTGATCAGCTCTTCCAAGTTGGAGCCTTCCTGCTGCTGATTGATAAGCTGCAGACACCTCAGTTCCTCCGAGCTGCCCTGCGACTGAGCTTTGAGCTGGAATGGAAACACCTGGATGTTCACAAACTACACAAGGTAAGGCAGCACACAGGGCTTGGCTGGGTGCAGTGGGGATCCCTGCAGCGTGCATGGCCAGTCAGCTGCCTTTGGTCTGGCTCTTCCTGTGTCAGGATGCCCACAGACACACCATGGAATAGAGCATAACCCAGCACTTCTCTGAGCGCAAAGGTGGTGGTGGGATGGGTGGGTACCATCAGGACACAAGTGTGGACTGAAGCTGCTCTTCTGGGAAGGAATCAGTTGGCAGAAGGCTGAGTGTGTCCCAAGCTCTGTCCAAAACCTGTTATGTGAATTGAATGGGTTAAATCTTGTCCTCCTATGATCCCCATGGCCAGCAAAAGCTTGTTCATAGCAGTGGTTATAGAAATGTGATAGCCCCTTTTATTGAGTCTCAGTGCTGAGCATGAAGGGAAGACACAGATTTTTGCAAGCTGCAGAGTACCAGGTAAAGGAGAGGTACTGAAATTTCCCTTTCTCCATCTCCTTCACCTCTCCTGCTCCAACACTGGGGAAGCATAACCCAGCCTTAGCTGTGAAGATGATGTTCACAGACTCTGGCGAAGGAGTTGCCCTGCAGTGATTGGCTTCACTTGTCCTCGGCCCATTCAGGGGCTGTGCAGAGAGGTAAGAGCTGCAGCTCCACGCTGGAAGCATGCAGCAGCCTGCTCCATGGCTGCTATATGGTGATGAGGCTCTAATTTATTGCTGTTGATCCTGTTGTAAACTAAGCTCTCACACATCTCTTCCCTCCCAGGGCCAAGCAATACTGGCTGGAGACCAGACCCCAAGTACTGCATCAGCCCAGACAGAGCTCAAACACTTTGTAATCTGTGCTGGATTGTGGCTGGGGAAAGGAAGCCTTCCTTTCAAGTGATGTGGGCTGCTGCATAGTGAACTATGCCTCGCCAGCGTGTCTTCAGGCTGACCTGGCCCAATTCTGCACAGTTGCTGCCTGGATGATGAACACAGTTGGCTGTGGGGTCACTGCTGCTGTGGGAAAACCAGGACCCAGATGAGACAGCTGCTCTGAAATCACCACTCAGGAGCTGGGAACCAGTGCAGGCACCTGGACCAGCCTGCCTGCGCCACCTGGGTGGTTCCCAGAGCATAGGAGCCAACCCAGCAGCCCTTGGTTGCTCTGTCAGTCCCACCAGCATCCTGTGCTTCCCCCAGTCAGTCTGCAGCTTCCACCAGATGTCTGCCTGCCTCCTGACCTCAATCAGTGGAGATTCCGGAATCAGTACAAAGACTATGTGAGGTGAGATAAAAAGTCTTCTTTTTTTTTCTCTCACTTTTTTTGTGTGTTGTGCTATTGGGCTGGGTTTACCAGGAACACAGTGGGTGGGAGATGGGTTGCAGTGCTGATCTCAGAGAAGTGCTGTGGTGCAGGCACAGCAGGAGGGTAAGCACAGCTCTCGCAGGGGTTCACCTGGGGTGGGTTTAGGTGGCAGAGTTGCCAGCCTTGCCAAGACATGCTTGTCTGAGTGGGTGGAAGCACAGTGCCTGTTGTAAATCCCCAAGTGATGAGGCTGCTCGCATGAAACTCTCCAGCACAATGCATGCTTGGGCAGAGCCAGTGCTTGCAGCCAGCTCCTTTGCACTGCCAGCAGCACTAACTGTGGTGTAGGCACATATAATCAGGGTCAGCCTTGGTAATGTGGTGGCACAGTCCCAGCATAACAATGAGTACTGCAACCATATCCCTCTGGCCACTACCAATTGCCCGGCTCTGCTAAGCGCCTTGATTAAGGCTCGCTGTGATAGGTTGCATGTGCCACCAGCACCTCTCACTGTACAGGATAATTGCAGTCCCTACCTTGTCTGTCTCCCCTTAAATTAAATGAAAAATAGGAGAAACGTCTGTAAAATGGGAGGGCAGAGCGTGTGTGCATGTGTTCTGGGTGAGGGAGGTTGGCCAAGGCAAGCAATTCAGTGCCCTCGGGATGCTCAGTTCTGAGTGCTACCAGCAGAACTGTTCCCATGTTGGGATCTGGTAAGAGACTCCAAAAGTTATTCCGAAGATGCAAATCAGTGTAAACTGCCTTCTTCCTTCAGCCCTTCCCTGAGGCTCTGTCTGCCCATATTTCCGCTCTCCTGCTGATGCCTCTCATGTAAATCCCTTGTAGTGGGTGCCACAGGAGATCCAGGGGAGGAAAGAAAATGTGGAGGCTGGAGTCTGCTCTGAAGAATGCTGAAACAATCAGCAGACGGACTGTTCCTCCTGCACCCAAGGATGGGGCTTTGTCCAATTTCTCACCTCTGCTGTGGTTTTGTACAAAGCTTGGCATTCCTGTGCCCTTCTGCTGATGGGCCCTCCCTCATCAGAGCTGCTCGGTAGTCCTTCGGTTTTCCATCTCTCCTGTTTGGTGTTTGGCCCTTTCACTGCTGGGGGATCACTGTGGATCTGCCATAGTAAGGGCAGCAGTGTGTGTATGTGGGGCTTGTGGGACCAGGGCCATCCTGAGCAGTTTGTTCTTGCAAGGGCAGTGCCTGTGTGAGGGGCCCTGTGAAGCTCTCTGGCTGCTGATGCTCATCGGGCAGCAGTGGTGCAGCTGTCAATGGCAGGATTTGGCTGCAGCACCTGGTCCATGGGAGCTGAGATCAGGAACAGCTTGGCAGGAACGATGCCGAGGGCAAGCCGGAGAGGCTGCACCTTAGCACAGTTATGGGGCGCCATTCAATAGGACCAAGTGCCTGAGAGCTCCAGGTGTGGGGTTCCCCCAGCCTCACAGAGAGAAAGAAGGCTGCAGCAGTCCTGGAGCGTGCGTGGGATGAGAAGCACAGGGCAGGGCACAAGGACCAAAGGGCGCCCGTGCAGCCCCTTCCCCGGCCCCAGCCCGGACCCGCATCCTCAGGTTACCCGCGGGCAGGGAGCGGCTCCGCCGGGACCCGCAGCCCAGGACGAGGGCTCGCCTTGCGCACAGCGGGATCCGCAGAGGAGCCCCGTTCCCCAGCGCCGAGCGCCGTCCCACGCCGGGAGCGGAGCCGCGGCTCGGGGCGCTCCCGGGGTGCAGCCCTCGCCCAGCCGCCGTCGGGGCCCCGCGCCGCGCTCACCTTGGAGATGGCCATGGTGAAGTAGACAAAGAGCCCGGTGGTGGAGGCGATCTGCAGGGCGAGGATGGCCATGATGGCCACGCTGCCCCAGAGCGGCCCGCACCGCCGCCGCCGCTCCCGCAACCCCCCGGAATCGGCGCCCGGGCCGTCTCCCAGCATGCGGGTGGCCGAGCCGCCGCTGTCGGAGCGCAGGTACTGCCCGGCGCTGGGCTGCTGCGGGGCCATGGCCGGGCCGTCGCTCCCCCCGCTCCGAAGTGCCCGCAGCTCCGGCGGGACAGATCGGGGAGGGGCGGGGACACGGATGGAGGCGGCCTCGGGTGGGAGTGGGGGTGGTCCCCGGGCTTTGAGTCGAGCGTGGCCTCGGGGGTGGGGTCTGTCCCGCACCTCCCCCCTGCGCTGTAGGAGAGGGGCGGTGGGTGTTCGTGCGCTGTGAGAATGGGGCTCTGTGTCCTTTGTGAGCCGCACGAGGCTGGCGGGGAGGTGAAGGTGGAGGTGCACGGCTCGGAGACGGACGGCTGCAGGTGGTGGAGAATCCCTGCGCTGCCTGGGCTGGGAACGGGAGGTGTCGGGGTTGGGTGGGCCAATGATTTGGGTGATGCAGACCATGGGGTGCCGGGGATGTCTGCCAGGGGTCAGCGGGTTACCCAAAGGCAAATATTTGAAGAAAGGTATTGATTGCCGTGGAGCCTTTCCCAGGGGTTCATCCCACACTGCCCACCGCTAAGAAACCATTCTGGGTCCGGGTGCTGGAGAAGCACCTGGCTGGAAGCAGAGTTTGGTTGTTCTCTGATAGCTGATTGCTGACCCCCAAGGCTGTGCTCTGCTGGTGAGCAATGTTCCCTGTTCTCCTAAAGTGGGGCTGTTGAGTTGTTTGGAAAGCAAACAGAAAACCTGGAGGAGGGCTGCTGCCTGATGACCGTCAGTTGCTGCTTTGTGCTCAGGTGACCACGGTCTGTAGTGTTTTTACCCCTGCAATGGAAGTGAGATCTTCATACACAAATACTATAGTTCTCCCAGAGCCTCTGTCTCATTTCTAAGGATGGGATGTGGGAAAACTGTGGGCTGGCCCCAGGCCAAACCCACAGACAGCTCCAGTAACCCCAAGTGGTACCCTGGGGTAAACGTTATGATTTATAGCAAAATAGGGAGCCGACTGTGAGCAGGACAGGCCCCTGGTGTGGCCCCTGATGGAGGCAGGGACACAGCCAGTGCTGCAGCCACAGCAGGGGAGAGGAGCCCCGCACCTCCCGAGTGAGGAGAGTTGCTGGGGAGAGCCAGCACACCACTGCCTTGCTTCTTCAGTGCTCTCACACCATGAATGGTGTTTTTTTTTTTTTTTTTTTTTTGCTCAGGGAAGGAACTTGTACCATTTTACATCCTACCTGCCAAAAATGGCACTATATCTTACACTGAATCCCAACAGCTCTGGCTTTCTGCAGACAGATTTCTGTAGGGAGCTGCTGGTTGGGATACAGGAGGAGGGATCTATACACAGCTACCACCTATTTAAAACAAAGGAGCAGTTCCATTATCTCTTTTTATAAGTCATCATGGCTGCTCTGGTTACTTTGTGTGCCTGGGGGTGAAGCAGCCTTGGGATCAGCTAGGGGGGTACAGGAGTTGTCCTTTCCCTCAGATGCCAGGGCAGAAGCTTGAACTAGAACTTCTCAAACATCCTACTTTGCAGTCCTACTTTGCTTGTGCATTCTTCTTTCTGTGTACAAATGGAGCACTGAAACTTATTTGTGGAGCACTGGAGCTCCTGGCCACATTTGGAGGGTCACTCATCGTACCTCCTGACCCTTGCTCTGTGGACTGAGTTGCAGTGCATGTATCCCAGGAGTAGTTTTGAGAGGGGTTCCTTTGCAGGTCTCCACCCATCCATGTTTGCTTTCCCATGGTCATGATGGTGGGTTCATAATCTCAGTGCTTTCATAGCCTCAAGCCTTAAGTGTGCATGCATTTGCAGAATTCCTTCAGCAGTGGCCAGGTATGTCAGGCTTCTCTGGGCTGCTGATATGTACTGCACACAGAGCAGCCACATGAGTAGTAGTTATGGCTTCCCAGACATGGAGAAGTGGGTAACTAGTCACCTTATCTGCTTTTATTGCTTTTATAAAAGTGTTTGCTGAGCCTTGAATAATGCAAGCTCAGTACAAATGTTTTCAGATCACTGATCTAATCACTCATTTTCTGTGCAAAGATCTCTACCACCCTTTCCCAGCATCCACTCTTTCTGTGGGAAATGATTGCTGAATTCCTGGTCATCTGTGTTGTAGGGACATGGGGAGGAAATGCTGTCCCTTCTCCCTCCAAGTTGTATCAGGAAAAATACTACTGAGACTGGGGGATCTTCCAGCCAAAAGCATCTGTCAAGTGACTGGGTGGTTTCTGTTGGCTCCATGCATGACACGGTGCCCTCAGCCCTTGAGAGGCTGCTGCTCTGCTCAGGCACTGGTATGGCACTGTCCTGCCTTGGTATGTGTTGGGAAGTAGAAGATGAGAAATGGATCAGTAACTGGTGGTGGACATGGGCTAGAGGAGCCAAATGCATTTGCAATTTGGAATGTGTATGCATGTGCAGAAGCAGCTTGGGTAGCACTCATCCATGTGCTGTGCTCCTGGTCCACCTGTTTCTTCATACGGTGGGGAAAGGGCCCACCTGGGCTCTGCTGGTGAGCAGCAGGATGCCTGGAGCTGCAAGTGCTCAGTAGCTCAGAGCTGATCTCTGTTCCGTGGAGATGGGAGGTTTGCAAAGCAGCCAAGCCTGAGTGAGGGCAGGACCAGCACTTGAACTGTAAAAAGAAAATTGGGTGGGAGCCAGATAAAAAATGCCTCCTGAGACTGGCTGGGGAGTTGTTTTTCACTTCTAATATTTCCTGGTCCGTGCACTAGGAGAATTGAGCCAGCCGAGCCTGGAAAGTTGTTTCCTCAGCACTCAGTGATGCAGAACCAGTGCAGGAAAGTGGGAGAGAGTGTTTTGCTGGGGCCTTGCATCATCACCAAAGTGCTGGGATGGGGGAAACTAGGCAGATATTGCCGGCATAGGGATGTGAGCTGTGTGAGTTTTGCAGTCTGCAACTTAGATTCTCTTTGGCTTTGCTTCAGGCATGATGGCTGAGTGTGCAACTTAGTAATGTGATTTTCCCAGGTTTTATGGAGGTGATAGTACAATCAGGATCCACTGGATTAATCTATACTGGATCCCTCTTGAGCTGGGCTAGCCAGGGCATTCATTCCTTCCCGGTTTGTACCTTCTGGAGCAGAGAGTTTCCAGTTTTGTGAGACTGCTCCTTTAAGGAAAGCCACAGCCTTGTTCTCGCTGGCTTGATTTCTAACATGTGTTGGCTACATGATCTTTAGTCAGGAAACAGCAGCCCCCCCGGGATGTGAAATCAGCGCACGCAGCTCAGAAAGGTCTTTGCTAACCTTTCTGGTATGCTCTCTCAAACATTTGTCTTTCGATTTGAATTGATCAATTCCTCTGCCAAGCCTTATGCGAAAGATCTTCTTCTGCACCAGATCGTACTCCCAAGGGTCAATAGGAAGCCTGGTCCTTCCAGCTGATGTGCTCAATCAGCTCATCTTCCTGAGTCTGCCTCAACTATGTTGAGAATCCACATCTGTGTCAGGCTCAGTTCCACCCTCAGAGAGAACTTCTGCTGGGATGGTGGGGACCAGCCCAGAAAAGACACAGTGATTCACCTTATCCCTGGGGCAGCACGCTATTTTACCTTGTAGTAGGAATCTGGGAAACAGTGGGCTGGCAGTTGATGTGTCTCAGCCCTTCTGTGCCTCACTTTCCCTCTGCTCAACATAGGCTTTCAGAGGACCTGTGTGGTTGCCCATGTGCTTGAGATATTTGGCAGAAAGATGCTTAGCTTGGGCAATGCTCTGGTGTATGTCCATCCTATGGGATGCTGCAGGGACATACCCTGACAGTGCATTCAGACAAAGGAGGGGAAGGCTGATTTGGATGCAGATTAAAGGCTCTGAGAAAACACACAAATGGCAGGATTGCTCTCAGGGTGCTCATTATATAGAAATAGTGCAAAGGAATTGGATGCTAACAGAGAAATGCTGGGATGCCCCACTCCTACAATCAGTTTCAGGCTTTTCAAGTGGTGGTGTTTTCCCTTGCCATGTTTCCAAGCAGAACTTGCCATTCCTCCATCCGGCATGGGCAGAAAAGAGCTGGAGATGGCTGTGGCAGACCTGCTGCTGCCTGAACAAAGAGAGATGATTAAAGCCAGGCCTCTTATCTCCTCCACCCAGAATACCAGAGATTTTACAGTGCATTTAACTTGCCCAAATTTCACCTGTGCCTTAGAGACAGATAAAGAGGAGGAGGAGAGAGCGTAGGAGAAGGACACTTTTGTCCTTCTCCCTAGGAGCAGGCATACAGCCCACAAGCAGGGTGTGTGCTGGGGGTTTTTGGGGTCACAGGGACATTACCGAGGAAAAGTCAGGGTAAGTGGCCAATGCAGCAGATGCTCTTGGAAAAAAATAAAGCCTCAATTCAGAATGGAGAGATTGAAGTGTTTTAGCCTGGGGCTGATGGTGCCCCTTTGCCCTCCCAGGTGGCCACAAGAGCAAGTGTGGGAGCACATGGTTTAGCTGGCCCGGCTGTTCAGGCAGCTGCAGGCACCAAGGGGGGCACACGCACCACAGGGCTGCACAGAGGTTCCCTGTGTCAGCAGGCCCAGGAAGGGGCAACTCAAGCAGACATGACTCAGCACCCAAACCACATGACTCAGTGCCCAAGAAATGCTGGCTGACAATGCCAAATTGGTGATGCAGCAGTCTCTCTGCACCCAGTCCCTCTCTGGGATTGGCAGTCCCAATCTGCCTGAGACCACAGTTGAACCAGCAGAAAATTTCCCCAGCCAACCCCAAAAGTTTTCATGATGGAGGGATCTGTGTTTATGAGAGACATGTAGAGAAACACTTCCTTAGCCATATCCCAAATGTCCTTCTGGAAAGGCAGTCTCAGCTCCTGGGGTGGGAGCAGTGGGGCAAGCAGAACAATGCGAATCCATCTCAGAAGTGGTCCTAGAGGGTGTGCAGGAGAGCTGTGTCTGCCTGGTTGTTCAGATCACACACTGCTGATGCTGTCAGTAAGGCCTGTGGAAGGGTTTTTTTTAATAGTGAATATAAAGTCCTTTGCTGCCCGTGTTGAAAAGAGTGTGGCAGTGTTCATACCACAGTTCTGGCAATTTATCTAAATGGACACTTGCTTTTTAGTTTTGTTCTAAACCCACCTGAGTCAGCATTGGACTGACCTCGGAGAGAGCAAAACCCCAAGACCTCTGTGCTCCTCTTTCCAGCACACATGCAGACAGACACAGACATGCACAGCATATGCTTTCTCTGCAAGGCATGCAGACCCTCTGTTGTGTTCTAGGGAATCATGCAAACCATATGGAGGCTGCAGGGGGGACAAATTTCAGTGGTTGGAGCTGACTCAGAACTTCCCACCGCAGGTTTCCTGCTGGCTCAGGGCTTTTTCAGCCTTCTTCCCTCCCTGTGCCCGGAACTATTGAGCTCTTTGAGAGGAGGCTCATGTACATCATGGAGCTGCCAGAGGCTCCTTCCCCTTCTTGTCAAGGCAGCTCATGGGGCAGGGTGTACTCACGACCTAGAAGTATTTTTGTAGAAACATCCTTCTGGAAATCATAGAACAGGGTGCACCTCACCTGTTCTGGCCAGTTTATTTGAAACCTCAATTTCTGGAAGCTGTGATAGAAAGCTGGTTTGTGTAGTTCCCTGCAAACTGGCAGGGTCTGCGTTGGCTCAGCTCAGCTTCTCTTCTCACATAGCATAACTCTCCCTGATTCAGCCATAGGACCCATTTGCACCTCAAGGAAAGATGTTTCTATCTTAGGATGGCTGCTGTCTCCTCTGAACTGGGACACTGGGATGCTACGCCTGGCTGTTTCTGGGCTGCAGAGAATAAAAGGAAGCTCTGGGTTTTGCAACATCCTGGCAAAGCTGAGCATAAAAAGAAAGGAAAAAATAGGACAGCCTGAGCCCAGCCATGCAGAACCCAGCTGAGGTCTTGGAGCATCAGCTGCCCATGTGGGCCAGCTGTGCTTCCTGTCCACCACCTCCACATCCTACTTTCCTAGTTCTCATTCAGCACAGCTGTCTCTGCTCTTGCTTTCACAGTAGGAAGTGAAACCCAGGAACAGCACAGCATTTGGGCAGCCCTTGGCTGCTGCTGCCCTTGTCTTCCTTCTGTACATGAAGATCTCTACGTGAAAGGAAGGTATCTTGTGGTGGAGGGAAGGGTGGTTGTATGTTTTGAGGCTCAGATTTCATGGCATTAGCCAAATGCGGCATCAAGCTGTGTGCTAGGAGACGCAGTGGGTGGTTTCATTTTCCAGTCTGACCAAAGCACCCCCGGTCCCTTTTCCTTCAGAGCTGCAGGTCTGGGAAAGACTGTTTCTGTGATGCTCGGCAGGCAGCTGAGTTTCTGTGGAGTGGGGAGAGCAGATCATGAGTTTTCCTGATTATGTGAACTTGTAGTTGTGCAGACCTAGCAAACAGCCCTGGCTCTGCCTGCTTACCCTGCCTGGGGTAAAAC